GTGACAGCACATATTTATAAACGATTGCCAAGCTCGTGAGCGTCGAGTAATTTTCACGAGCTTGCAGATTTCAGTTGTGTTTGATGTTTTCAATAAAGGCAATCGTAACAGTCGGCTTTATACGCGCGTAGCATATGTAATGCGCACACGCCCCCCCGAAAGCACTTAGGTTGAAAGGAAGGGAATATTACCGATAGTGTACATACATCAAAAAGCACGTGACTGGGAATACATTTATTTAAGATGTTAATTCTGAAGCGGTAGCAGCGATAATGAGTAATATATACAATATTAAAACAACCCCCCCACCCCCCCATCTAATTATAAGCATTGCTGTTGTGGAAGTATGAGCGGTGGTGTAGCGGTTAACGCGCCGTGCTAGCAGGAAATATCTGAACCGGTCCTGTGCCTCCCCTAGGTCAACTCAGCCTCAAATGATTACGTGGTGCGGTGTGTAGTAAACATCGCCATTCGGGGAGACAAAGGCGGCCGGGCGTGGGGCTGTCCACCTCACCCCCTCGTGTGCCGCGCCGACCTTCATAGGCGCTCGCTAACAGCACTTGCCCCAACAGTCTGTTAAGGCTACACGGGGCGTATTTGTGTTGTGATTAGGGGGCACCGGTTCGCGCACTGCACTACAAAGCTCGCCACGTGCATTCGATTCCACCGGTTCATGGTTACTAACGTCAGCGTGGGCAAGTGATATCTGAATCTCAGTCTCAAATCAAGAGTACCATCGTGCAGTTGCATAAACATCAGCAACGGGGAGACAAAGCGGGTCGGGGAATCGGTTTTCTGGCCACACCACATCGCTGGCAGGAGGCTACAATCCGTAACGCATGTGGTTCAGACAACCGTGTTAACTGAAATGGGGGATCTTTATCTTTTACTGTTCATGCGCGTGTTCATTTGTACATGTGTGTTGTGTTCTTGTATGTGTGTGTGTATATATGCGCGTGTCTATGGGGAGCGGTGGTGCAGCGGTTAGCGCTACGCTGCGCTCCGAACCCCGGCGAACCCAGGGTTCGAGTCGTGCTCGAATCGTGCTCACAGTTAACGCCAAGTGAGTGAAGTGACGATTATTATCTGAACCGCCCCTGGGCCTCCCCTAGGTCTACTCTGCCTCAAGTGAGCACCTTGTGCGGTGTGCAGTAATCATCGCCACTAAGGGAGACAAAGGCGGCCGGGCATGGCGCTGGCCACTCCCCACCCCCCCTCGTGTGCCGTTCCGGCCTTCATAGGTGCTACTCGCTAACAGCACTTGCCCCAACAGTCTGTTAAGGCTATACGGGGGATCTTTGTCTTTGTATGTGTGGTGGGGGAGCAGTAGTGTAGCAGTTAGCGCTCTGCGCTACGAACCCGGCGACCCGGGTCCCATTCCCGCTCACGGCCAACGCCAGTGACGATTATTTGAACCGGTCCTGGGCCTCCCCTAGGTCGACTCAGCCTCAAATGACCAAAGGCGCGGCGTGTAGACGTCGCCATTGGGGAAGACAAAGGCGGCCGGGCGTGGTGCTGGCCCACCCCCCACCCCCTCGTGTACCGCGCCGGCCTTAATAGGTGCTCGCTAACAGCACTTGCCCTAACAGCCTGCTCAGACTACATAGGGGATCTTTGTCTTTTGTGTGTCTTTGGTGGGTGGGTGAGAGCGTTCGGAAGGGAGCGCGCGTGTCCGTGTCACGGCAGATGGGAGTTGACGCGTCGGCTTGTTCGGCATTAGCATACGCCGGTGGCGCGTGTGGGCCGGACGGTGATTAAGTTGGCGTGCGTGGGAGAGGGGATGGCCCCGGTTTGTTTGTGCCCGAGACGCGGCGGCAGCAGCTGCGTCTGTCAGCTGTCGACGGCGGGGCCCAGACTCGGCGAGCAGAAGAAGCGTGGTGTGGCGGCGGTGGTCTCTCTAGTGCTGTGGTGGTGGTAATACAGGGGGGGGGGGGGGGGGGGTAGGGGTGAAATGTAGTATGTGTGAGTGAGTGTGTGTGGGTGTCTGTGTGTTTAGGTGCTCGCTAACTGCACTTGCCCCTACAGTCTGTTAAGGCTATACGGGGGATCTTTGTCTTTATCTTTGTGTCTGTGTGTAGTGGGGAGCGGTGGTGTAGCGATTAGCGCTACGAACCCGTCGACCCGGGTTCGATTCCCGCTCACAGCCAACCCCAGTGACGATTATCTGAACCGGTCTTGGGACTCCCCTAGGTCGACTCAGCCCTCAAATGAGTACATAGTGCGGTGTGTAAACATCGCCACTGGGGAGACAAAGGCGGTCGAGCGTGGTGCTGGCCACCCACCCCATCGTGTACCGTTCCGGCCTTCATAGGTGCTCGCTAACAGCACTTGCCCCTATAGTCTGTTAAGGCTACACGGGAGATCTTTGTTTTGTCTTTGTATGCACGTATGGTTTGTACGCATGTGTAGTTGGTCATATCGTTGACACCTACACATGTGTACAAAGAGTGTGTGTTAGCCATGCCCGGTTGACACCGTAGGTAAATATCTGTGGCAATTACTTGAACCGCGTTCTCGGCTTCCCCTTGCCGCACTCGGCCTCAATGATTCTCTCGCGTGGCGCGCTAAGATCAGCACTTGGGAGACAGAGGCAGCTGGGTTGTGCCGCTGGCAACTCGAAGCCCCTCGTGTGCCATTCCCCTGCCTTAACGGGTTGCTCGCTAACAACTCTTGCCGCCCCAAACAGCCAGCATGGTGACACAGTCGCTCTTTGCCTTTGTTGATAAGTATACTCGTGTGTGTGCGTGTGCGTGCGTGCATGTCGTGTATACGACATCGGAACGAGTCACTGCAGTTATTCAATATTTTTCCTCGCGCGTTCCATGCTGCAAATGTAAATGAAAACAGTGAATAAATGAACACACGCAAGGATGAATGGCTATGGTTAAGAAACACATGGATAATAAACTGAGCGATGGAGTATTAATTCCGTTTAATGGCGTGATCGCGCACTAATGTGGAAACATTAGTGAGTCGCATAGCAGCGGTAGGGACGGATATACAGTAATGCACAGTTTTTTTTATTTGTTCCAGTAATGCACTCACTGTTATAAGGCAAAGGTCTTCCCGCAAGTGCATCATTGGTGGTGCTTTTTTTTCTTTCAAAATAACCTTCATCAATTAAAAAGAGAAAACGAATCGTTTTGATTTGTTTGAATATGTTTCTAAATGTGTGTGTGTGTCTACACGAACACCACAACCTATGGGTGGCTCTTGTTTGCCCTGCCCTGCCTCGAGGCATAGAGATGAGATGACGACGATGAGGGTGATGATGATGCTCATGTTTAATCATGAGCCAGTGGCACGATCACTCTTCCGCATTGACTGATGACTCGTAATTGTCCAGAGGAATGATACATTTTGCCAACACGCTCTCACTCCACTCGCTCAATCTAACAGTGCACGTGCGCGACCCGTGCGCCGGTTTCTCTCGAAGACCCGGGTTAACACGTGTGGAGTTGTACAAGAGTACATAGCGAGCACAATGCTGACAAAGTAGGTCACCTGGATATATATATTTTATTTTTCTCTGTGAGAATCCTGCGCCGGACAGCTAATTTAGCAAGAGGTGTTGATTAATTCCTTTGTTGTGAGCGATTAATTTTTGTCATTCCAAATGTTTATTGTGCCACGTTTATTGATGGAGGCACGTAGCTTTTGTAAAAATCGGTACGTCTAATTGAGAGCAACTTTGATATTGAGCAATCGCCACCACGCTATTGCCATACTAAAATTAACTCCACGATTTACATAATTACGTAAACAACGACAGGTCACAATGGTACATCGTAAACTTTTTGTTGGCAACGAATGATCAATTGGTTTTCATCTGTTTGTGAGAAAGAAGAAAAAATCCTTCTAGACCTCTCTTCGAAAATGCATTAGTACTCCTTCAAAGGAACATTGTCCATGCTTATTGACCTGGCCATTGCACAACGTCACAGCGCTGCAATGTGGCATTGACCGGAGACGGGTCAACACCGCGCGCGCGTGTGGTCTAGCTTGCAAAGTGAGAGGAGGAAGCTACCATTGCTGTGATATTTATTAAACCGCATTGTATCGATCATGGCTCAGGCCCCGTGGAAATGAACGTTGCAAGTCACAGCGTTGCGCACCGCCGCGGTAATTTGACCCCTCTTGCACTCTCGTGGGAGGGACAGCCCAAGCTGGTGGAAATGATTGAATGCCGGACAGCGTACAAAATGAATCCCCGCAGCTCTGGCCACGCGACGTTGTGTTGACAACGGAGGCGCGTGGCTCTCGCACCGTGCGGCTCGGGGTGGCTCCTTCTTATGAATTCATTCATCTTCCCGGGAAGGCGCGTTGTGTTGATGAGGGCTACCTGTGCATGAATAACACATCTCCCCGCCCCCCGCCCCCCACATATAAGAACAACTACAAAAAAATTCCCCAGCGTGGGTTCACAGAGGGCTCAGTAACCCCACAGTCATCTCCCGCGCTCAATTTGGCGAATGTCGGGTGTCATTTCCCTTTGAGGTTGACGGCAGAATCTCTCCGATGTTTGCTTAAATTGTCACTTTGTTGTCCCCAAGAACGTTTAATAAATAGCAGAAGCTCCACCAATCGTGTATCAAGCATCGGTGGGATTCATATCGTCTCCTTGATCTCTCGGGCAACTTCACACAGACAAATTGAAAAAAAAAATCTCCCTCTCTCAGTGAAACATATCGACCCAAATTTATTTCGGAAACAATTTTGGTTTGTTTTATTTGTTTGTTTGGCTTTGGAGAAGTTATTTTCTCCTTTATTACTTCTTTAAACCTCAATTAAGCACGGAAAAATGTACAGCGTTCATCCCAACGGAGGCCAGTTTGCCTAAACATTGCCCGCTCTGCATTTTCTTTCTATCTCTCAAGAAGCTCGCAAACTGTTGTAATCCCCTCGCACATTTGTTGGCAATTGGGAACATTTTTTACCGTGAATAAATGTGCTTGTTTGTGCGTGCGCGTGTGCTTGCTTATCTGTCTCCCTTCGCCTAGGGCAACCAGGAACCCACGGCCCCTCCGGAAGCCATGGCCCAGCCATACGGTGCCACGGCAGGGCAGTACGCACCGCCGCAGAACGGCCTCCCCGCGGAGTACGCGCCGCCGCCGCCGCACGCACACCCCCACGCCCACCCCGTGCAGGACTATGGCGCCCAGCCGTCGCTGCCCGAGCACGCCATGTCCATCTACCCGGCCGCGCAGCCGCACGGCGACCAGGGAGGCGCCGGCGAGCCTCCGGGGCAGCCCGTGTCAGCTACCTCCACGGTGAGCCCACGGCCCGTGTTGTTGCCGCCTTGCTTGAGCGAGGGGCGGTAAATACGACCCGGGGGGGAGGGGGTGTGGGCGCATGTCATGGGAAAAAGATGATGATGAAGAAGAAGGATGTCTCGTGATACCGGAATGCCCCCCGGGAGGTGGGAGAACCGGTATACAAGAGGTCGTGGGTTCGATGCTGACCCTGACGCCTGTATATTTGGGGGTTGCCTGTCTCTCCCCATCGTTGCGTGCATTTTTCTCCTGGTCCTCCGGTTTTCCCCTCCAACTTAGAAACGTGCGTTGAGAGTATTTGCCTGCTATAAATGTCCACGTGATAAGCCACTTCGTTGGGCTATCATTTGTGGATAGGTCACTTCTGGAAACAGGCAATATAGCTCAGTTAGCCTTTCCTGGTAAAATAAAAAATAGTTTCGTTTAGTTATGAATATCACTCCCCTCACTGAGGTTAGCTGCGGTTGGGAATCGAACTCGGGTTGCTGGGTCCATAGCACGCCAACCACCATGCCACCACTCTACCATGGTCGGGACCATGAGTGTGAATAATATCGGTGCTTGAGCACGTGCACACGTGCTGGATACGGGTATACACAGACAAGTGATGATGTCACTTGCTGTGGGTCTTACAATCCAGCAGACATAGGTGCTGTTGGCGAAGACCGTGGCATATGAGGTCGTGGTAGGGCCGCCACCGCGCACGCCACCTCTGTCTTCTCATTGCTGATTTTTACCGCACCGTGCCGAGACTGATTTGACCTCGGCATGGCCCATTGCCATTTTCGGATGCTACCTGTCAGTCATGTTGGCCGCGGCCGTGAAGTGAATGCCGGCCACTGGAGTGCTCTGTTTTATTGCCCCTATTCGTGTGCACCCACAAGCACACACGCACACACGACTTAGATTCCCCCGCGTAGCCTCTTTGGATCTCTCGCAGAGCAGTGCAGCCCGTTCTGCGAGAGGACGCTCCCCGGAAGCGGATATCACAGAACTACCTCAGAGATTCCCTCAGCTGACCTCTGGTCCATGCAGTAGAGCGGTCGCCACTTTCCTAGCGTAGCACTTACCACTCGTGCCACCGCTCCCCACCACTCTGTACACACACAGTAACTTATTATCCCCAGGGAACTTAAATTACCATCCATACTTCTCTCCTTGGACCTCGGTGTTTAAACACTCTGCTGGGAGAAAGCCCTCAGCAATGTGTGGATGTTAAGTTGATTAATTATTTGTTCTTCCGTGTGTGGCTCACTTTTACGGCTATAAACTGGACGAGGGCCTCAACGCAATGAAACCGCATTTTGGCACCCGGAGATGATATCAAGTTTTCAAATATAGTGCACTTGCCACGACTGCCAGTTTTTCAAATATGTTATATTGTGTTTTGAAATTGTCTGCTGCTGAGGTTATGAGCTTTGAAAATATTGGGATTAGAGTGAGTGTGCCGGAGCTGTTTTGTGTGTGCGTTTTTTTTGGTTGCCCTTGGGAAGATTGATGTTTTAGGAAAATGCAACGAAATGAATAATAGATTAAGCAGCAGGGGAATGCTGACAGCTTTGGCCCTTGCAGCCGATTGACCGAAATTACTTCGTTTGTGCTCTTTTGTAAGACCGTTTTGTAGTTGAAATGTTATCAGAGGGCCGGCGTTTTGTTAGGCCAGCTTTCGGTGAGGCCCTGCAACAGAATTGCCATTTTTTCCTTCAATGCCCTCCCCTGAATCTATGCGACTTGTATGCCTCCATCTATTCACGAGGATTGATCTTTTAAGATGTTAGCTCTTGGCAAACTACGCCAGCTTATCAATCAGTGTATTGTTTGGATACAATTAACCTGTTCAAAGATATCTTGGCATTATCCGTGTTGTTCTGGGATCACGACTTATTGCTTGCAGCTACCTCGATGCACTGCGCACGAGGAGAAAGGTGGGAGCGGAGTTGGCTGGGGGCGTCCGAGGTGTGCGGTGTCCGCCCCCCCTCCTCTATTTCACCTGCCCCCCCCCGCCGCCGCCCCCCAATAATAAAAATCTCTGAGTTCGTCCTTAAAAAGGCACGAAGCAGGAGGACGATGATAAAGTGTGCGGGGGTGGGGGGGGGGGCGACATTAAAAACAAAAGTACGCTTGGGTGTGTTCAGAAGGGTATCTCATCCCCATTAGCTGGCAACCCGCCAGGAGCTGGCCAACGTGTAATCGGGCTTTTAATGCGGGAAGGGGGAAACGATTTGCCGCTTCTGACGGCCGCGCTTCGGAGCGGAGCGTGTGAGGGCAGCAGCCCCGTGCCGGGCGTGCGTTTTTTCCTCCGTGGTTTATTTGGAGCCTCGGCGTGCGCCCGCGTGCGGGAGCGGTTCCCCTCCCTGGCGAAATCCGACTTTGTAATTTCAGAAAGCGCGGCAGTTGGCGCCGCCCGTCACACCCCGGCACCCGATTTAGCGCTGCTTACGACGGGATTCTTTTGGCGACAGGCGAGCGTAGAATTTAAGGAGGGCAGCTCAGTGACTGTTTGCTGTTGGAAGGATGTAAAAACAACAAGAGGAGAGAGAGAGAGAGAACAACAAATATATTTTGTTTCCCTTCGCTAAAAAGATAAAGTCATCCCATCATCTTTCTGGCACTGATAAAATAGGTATCGCTTCGTTGGGGAAGTCAACAGTAGTTGTCCTGTGGATGTACTCGCTCCAACCATAAGCATGTGTAGTTTCCACCACTGGCTCATGTTTGCAAACAGAAGGTGACCACCACCTCAATGCTCATTTGAGCAGGAAATCCACTTTGGTATTGCCTCTCAAGGAATACTCAGTAAATATTTAGTTTTCTTTCCACCGTTACTTTCTTTGATTAACCTTTTTGTTTAAGATTTTTTTTTTGCTCATGTTTGTTACAGGCGAATTGTGGAGCCTGATTTATTAACGTTAGGGCCACAAAATGGATAGATCACTCTCAATTTAATAACGGAAGATCGTAATGGACAATTTGGGGGGGGGATGGAATCTGAGCGTGCATCTTAAAGCATGCGCAGAAAAACGACCGCGTTTGTCTGGTTGCGGCCAAGGCTCTGTTCCGTAATGTCCCCCGTGAACCAGCCGAGACCTACACTCGCCAATGCAGAAATCAGGTAAACGCTCGGCAAGATAGATCGCCAGACCATTTCTCTCCAAGACATCGGTCCGCCTCGGTATACTTCTAAGGAGGGACAGCTTCCCGGTGGTAACAAATTGATGTTACCAAAGTGCAGTCTGCAATCCTTTACTGCAAATTGTTATTGTGATGATGATTAGTATTATATTCATCGATATCAATAATAATCCTGCCTGAAGTATGATAGTAATTACATGGTATCTTCAGCGTCTGCCTTTTTCTTGTACGGTACATGAAATATCATTGTTCTTCGTGAAGCAACATATTTTCGTATTATTTTCCTATCAATGTTAATAATAATCATCATTTGCCGTGCTCTATCCATGAACGATCCCGTCATATCACAATCCTTTTTACTCCTGCACACGAACCGGTCCCATTGCTCCATATCTCCCATGGCTGTCGGCTCATGCTACCAATAGTTTTCCTTTTACGTCCGAATGCCACATTTTTGGATGAAGTAATTAATTCTACTCAACGGAATTAATGCATCACAAAGTATTTTGTCATTGCCGTACATACTGTGTGAGTGAAAAATACACTCGATACCATTTAAAGTTGGGAAAAAACTCACCGAATTTTTTAAGGAAAATATATCATGCCACAAAGTCCCTACGCATCTTTTTTACTGAGGCCATTTACAAAATAACTTGCTCAGTCCGAACGTATCTTTGAAATCTCACCATTATCATTAAACACAACTTCTTTATCACATACGCATTTCTTACAATCAATGTACATTTATGAATATGAATTTTAAAAAATGTCTGCTCCGTTCCCCAAGTATACTGTCAACCCTGCTACCGGAAAGAAATCCCCCTGCAGAATTTTGGTTTATTCACAGAGGTCAAGTGATGTTCAGCAGCACGTGACCTTACCATAACCGAGGACGATAACGTAAACTACTTCAGATGTGTATCTAAGCAGTTTGTCACATCTTTCTTTTTAAAACTATCTTGTTCTTGGGGAACATATCGTGCTTCATAAATGTCAACTATGTTGCATGAAGTTAAATTGGAAAAAAAGAAATTGCAAAAATGTATTATTAGTTTCATCATAAAAAGCCTTCAACAGAAGCACACCGTGTGCCCCCATGCTCTTTACCACTTGGGAAATTAAGGCCAAACTTTGTTACGTAAGTCCACCCTGTTACCTGTCAACTCTGTTTTCGTTTTGAGCGTAACAGAGTTACTTGCATGGTGCAGAAGACACTTCATTGGTAGAACGACTCCATCCTCTCAGGCACGTGTATTCTTTTAGCTCCCATTTCACCACCAGTCTCCTCCATTGACAATCGTCTCCGCTGGCAATGTGTCCTGCCCGAAGCCCACTCGCTAATTTTACCGGTCGATATGTTCTCCCTAATCGTGTTCGTTCTCTAAGCCAAGTATCGGCGCCGCGGTGGCATGATGTTCAATACCTCGCCTGGTATACAGAAGGTCGTGGGTTCGCTCCCGAGCCTGACGCCTATATATTTGGAGTTTGCATGTCTCTCTCTTTCTCTCGCTCGCTCGCTCGCCGTGGTTGCATTGGATTTTTCTCCGGGTCCTCCCGGTTTTCCCTCCATCATTTAGAAACATGTTTGGCTCCTATCAATTCCCGCGTGACAAGCTACTTTGTTGGGCTATCATTTGTGGCCCGGTTGCTTCTGAAAAGAGCTATATAGCTCAGAAGGCCTTACCTGCTAAAATAAACAAATTAGTTTAGTTTATAATTTAGTTTATATGTTTCATGGCTCCGATCCATACGGCAGAGCAGGGAATATGAACTGAACACTTTTATTTATTAGGTATGGTAATCTGTTGCTTTTCAAATTTCAAAATCAGTTTTCTGAAATCACGTCCCACCCACCCTGCTCTCAC